TGGCGATCAATAGCCCATTTTACATTGTATGTCCAAAAATAGTTTTCTACTTTTAAAGATATATGATAGCTAGTTTAAACTCATTTTGTGATAATCTATTATTTTCACTGTCCTTCGTTGACAGGGTTTTATATATCATATGTATGTATTATGAATTTAGAACTAGGTTTAGTCACGATATGGCTGAAATATTGCCGATGTGACTTTAAATCTTAACTCACTCACTCATAATTAATCTGATCTCACGATGTAACATATGTTATATTTGGGATTACACTTTCTCAATCAGGCACCTAATCGCTAGCACACAAAGTCAACCGCCTAACCCGCTCAGCCACCGCGACTTCCACAATGACACTCATGATATACTTTGTCCTTAGTGAGTGAGTGAGTTTGTTTTACGCCGCTTTTAGCAATAGTCCAGTAATATCGCGGCGGGGACACCAGAAATGGGTTTCATATATTGTACCCATGTGGGGAATCGAGCCCGGGCCTTTGGCGTGACGAGCGAACGCTTTAACCACTAGGCTACCCCACCGCCCCTCTGTACTTAGTCCCCACGGTGATTTAAATATGTCCAAACGGGTTGCCATTTCTTCCGCACTGTGTCATCGGTTCCCAATTGCGCATATCGATGCTCATGCTGTTCATCACTGGATTGTCTGGTCAAGACTCGATTATTTACAGTCCGCCGCCATATAGCTGGAATATTGCTGAGTGCGGCGTAAAACTAAACTCACTCACTCTTCCGCACTGTTCCTGCTCTTGGAAACCTTTAAGCGTTACCCGTCCAATCATTTGTTGCCAGATCTATCCTAGGAATCTATTGATACACCTCATGGATCCGATAATTTATAGGTACATCATGTATGATAACATGTCTCTGGGAGATAACATTCTCCCAGTTACACCAAACATATATCTAAATGTACATTTTAGGTGTCACATTTGTTCCTTACTTTGACTGGTACCATATGTGTCCCCCTTATAAAACGTGAACAAGAAATACGTACTTGCCCTTGCATGCGTTTGTGACCCCTCCCACAGGTAGGACAAGATACACTCACTTTTTTGATAGTGAGTGAGTGAGTTAAGATTTAAAGTCACATCGGCAATATTTCAGCCATATCGTGACTAAAACTAGTTCTAAATTTATAATACATACATATGATATATAAAACCCTGTCAACGAAGGACAGTAAAAACCACTAGATTATCACAGATTGAGTTAAAACTAGCTAGCATATATCTTTAAAAGTAGAAAATTATTTCTGGACAATACAATGTAAAATTGGGCTGTAGATCGCCAACAACTGAAGGTAGATCACCATACTAGGGACCATGGGGATCATTTTGATAGTGATTCCAAAACACTCATATAGTCTGATTTGCATAAATAGACTCTGCATTCTTATGGTCATGAAAACCGTTACTTCAGATGAGTAATATAGCGTAGAAACGCTCTATAAATACCACGAGATGTACAGACTACGAATGCATCCCCTTCAAACGATACATGTTCGCTTGAACTGTTTCCTGATGTTCTGTGAGCTACGTTCTGAAGGTGGACTGATGATATTTCCTGTCATGGAATCGTGCTGATCTCCGTGAGTACTGAGTCGTATGGAGACTGACAGAAGGATGTCGTCCGATTGATCACGCTGAAAGCCATCCACTCCCCACAGTTCAGCTGTTCCATTTCGGTCTTCTCAACACAAGGACCGTCTTCCTTCTTTATCTGATTAATAGCTTCTTGGAGTGGTATATATCTTCCGTCTCTACATTGGTCTTAGCATGAACAACGAGTTGTCGCTTGAACAGAGCGTAGCTGATGAAATGGAGAGTAGACGGAATCAGCAAGTGGATGACAGTTCGGTAATAAGTTAACAGGCTGTAAATATGATGACTTAAGTACAGATATACCGAAATGAAGGGTAAATGCTTTCGTTATCTAGCTGCATTGTTCGGAGTTGTGGAATGGAATCAATACTTTTAATAAATAATGAAGCGTATGACTTTATGGGAACAACTTCTTGTTTATCACGGGGAGCGAAGTTTCGATGTGGTTTTCGTTATTAGGCAAAACGTCGTCTTGATAACAATGTATGGATCTACATCGAAACGTCACTCTATGCAATAAACAAGAAGTTGTTATCCTTAAAGCCATATGTAATACTCGTTATTTACTCAACAAAGTCTGGAATGCCGATCAAACAGTTATCCTCAGATACAGGACTGAACGTGTTATTTCGAGTTTCTTGATGGGCTCTTTGTTGATATACATGAAAACCTCTGGCACAGCAATAAGTATATCAAAGGAAATGTCAGTTCAGTTTCAATATGGTTACAGGTCAGTGAGGTAGTCCTGTGGTTAAATCGTTCGCTCGGCATGCCGAGGACCAGTGTTCGATACCCAGCATGGGGACCCTTCGTGAAACTTATTCTGTTTACTTCCCTTAACCATCACTCTGGAGGTGACGTCTATCTCGAGATGGCATGTAGTGTTGAAGTATTTCATACAGTATTTCCGTCATGAAACAGCATGTCAGATCTATACTGAACCCAAGCAGGTTTGATTGCACATTTGACGAAACTCAAGACAGTCCATGTACGTTTAAAACTTAAGTGCATCCGGTGAGAAATATACTACCCATCAAAGGTTTAGAACTTAAGTGCATCCGATGAGAAATATACTACACATCAAAGGTTTAGAACTTAAGTGCATCCGGTGGGAAATATACTACACATCAAAGGTTTAGACTCAGTGGTGTAAATGTAGCCACTTACTTCAGTCAACTGTTCTAAACTAGATTTTGCTAAATATTCCATAATGTTTAAAGGTACTGTTTACACATGAACTGATGTATTTTCAAACAAATTCGTAACGTTGAAAAATTATTTTCAATAAATCATGAAACTCAGTGAAAATTGGTGAAATCTTAACAAAACTTTTCGCCAAAACGCAGCTGTTCACATGCACGATATTTGTACATGATTTTCAGAAAACTGATGCATGATCCTCGTGCAATTTATCTGCATAAGGTATGCAGATGGTTCCCCCAAGTTAGTGGAGAAATTTCTTCTTAATTGTAACCGTATATATATATATATACATAACATATAGTGAGTGCTTTAAGTGATTCTAAACCTTTGAGGGGCGGTGGGGTAGCCTAGTTGTTAAAGCGTTAGCTCGTCACGCCGAAGACCCAGGTTCGAATCCCCACATGGGTACAATGTGTGAAGCCCATTTCTGGTGTCCCCCGCCGTGATGTTGCTGGAATATTGCTAAAAGCGGCGTAAAACCAAACTCAGTCAGTCAGTCAGTCTAAACCTTTGATGGGTAGTATATTTATAAATAGTGCAGTTGGGCGTTTCCGCATAAAACTACACTCACCACTGTTAGAGATATATTGCAAAGAAACCCATGTTGATGGTACACAGCTCATGAGCGTGTTAATTAGGTCAGTTATGTTACAGCTTCTCACGCCAGGCATTAATGTGTCAGTATTTATACAAATTATCTACATTAGAAAGTGATTGATGGTACTTGAGTCTTCTATAAATATTTATTGGAGATATATTTAAAATGGAAATGGGTGTTGGAAAACGTGACAGAAGACAGCAGGGTTGGTTTGGAAAAAGACAAGAGTTAATGCTATTGGTTTGGTTATAAGTTGCAAAACATAGTGGTAGCGGCGTCCAAGTGGAGGGAACTAAAGAAGATGAAACAGACACTTGAGGAACAATTATTCTGCTAGAAAATATTCGTATCGCAACATATGGTGGGGATTAACCCATGAAACGGTAGGAAGCTAAATCAGGAAGAGGGGTGTGGTAAGGCGTGCAAGGAAACTCTCGATCTCGATCTCTCGATCTCGATGAAGTAATTACACTTGATTTACATAAAGGTATATACTGTCCGGTCTTCGAACAGCGTCCGCCGGGGAGCGGAAAGTCGCGGGTTCGATCCCCGACCGCGTCATACCAAAAGACGTTAAAATATGGTACTTGTTGGTCCCTGCCTGGCGCTCGGCATTAATGGGTACAACAAGGACTGGTCGGCTCGGAGTCAGTATAATGTGTCTGAGTGGGGTATTCATGCTTCACTGCGGCATGGTATCTCAGTGGGCTAGCACTATAAAATCAGCTTAAGTCTGGGCTAGTACAAGCAGCCACACATACACACACACACGCACGCATGCACGCCGTCATATGAGCGAAATATTCTCAAGCACGACATTAAACCCAATTTCACCTCACCTCGAACAGTGTACACTCTGAACAAATCCGTCCGTCGATATAAGCTACAGATAATGTCAGTGCTAGGAATAGCCGACGGAAGTGTTATGTGCACAATGTTCATAATGCCTGTATTGATTACATACCAAATTCATCACTTAAGGTTTCGACATCACCAGAGTTCTGGTGTTTATTATCGGAACATTGTCAGTGGTCACTGTATGTACAGATCGGCGACTGTATCATGAGGCGGCCCCTCGCCACACGCCTACACTCCATCTCCACAACGAGCTCCATCACCTCACCGGCACTGGTTTCAAACGAATCCACGTCAGGGGCTTGTTGTGGAATCACAGTCTCCCAGACTATGGATGTCAACATAGTACCAGTGTCAATATCTTGTATAAGTGGTATTTTGTCCGGGGCAAGGACGATAACACAGCTGTCAACCCATTACTTCCTACCCACAGGTACTGCTAAATATGTGCATTTCATTCATCCTGTGCACATGCTAACGCAATGCAGGTTGTGCAGGTGCAAGTGCAGACGCAGGCACACAGGGCCAGGTGCACAACGTGTCGAAATATATCATAATAGTTCTACAGTAATGAGATCGCCTTTGAATTCATACGGGGCTGTTGGTTACCCGAGACCTATGTTCAATACACCAGGCAGGTACGTGTAAAGACTGGCCTTGTGTAAACAATGTACCGTATGATATATAATACGCACCTAATTTGACTTTCCGACGGGGCTTCTTATGTAAAGGAACTGTTTCTTGTTTTACAGCGTTCCAGTAAAGAGGGTCAGCTGTTGATGTAGGCCAGGTCGAATACGGAATCTACGGGGACACTAGAACAGTGAATTGTTTTAAAACAACATCACTAAGATCACACCTGACAATCACTGTCATAAGTACTAAAACATCTCGAAGCAGGTGTATTTTCATCACTGTACATAGGTATACTTTATGTTATCAGGCGCATTGGTCGTACCTGTGATGAGTGAACACATATACTGAAAGCCATTAAAAATGCAATTTGACATTCATACTTTCTTTACTCACACTAATTTCAACATATAAAAACCTAACTGGCAGATATGTTTTAAGTGAACATCTGTGAATAATTTCATCTGAAAATGTCCAGTCAACAACAACATCAGTGACGCAACAACGACATCACACAAAGGAGGGGTCACTTGCAGTCAATATCGTGTGTGTCCACCGTGCGCTGCAAGACATGCTCGCAGTCTTTGGGGCATTGAAAGACACACATTTCTCAGGAACAGCTGTTGGATGGTCTGCAGCCTCTGATGGTCTGTGGTCTGATCATGACACCACCCCCCTCCAAAACGATCATGTTCAAGGACACAGTTTGGCGCAAGTCTTTCTCCTTTACGTCGATAAATCTGTTGACGTCCATCTGCAAAGGATAAGTTAAACCTGGATTCATCTGAAAAAATGACATCTGGCCATGTCCTGTTGCCAAGATTGGCCCCATTTGCTGCCCATCGCTGTCTGGCAAGTCTGTGGCGCTGAAATGACGTTGACTTGTCCCAATTGTCCTCCTTGCCTAATCACCAGCTGTTTGGAACCGATTTCGCAAGTTTGAAACTCGGATATTGCGGTTTTGTCGAGCTGTTATCACAGGTGGTGCACCAGGTCGCGGACGATCAGCAACACTTCCGGTAGCCCGAAAACGTTGTCTGAGTCGACTTACAGTGGATGAATGCACATTAAAGTGCATGACAATCATCACATCTGAAGCGCCTTGGCTGACCATACCGATAACCTGATTCCTATCGTCTTGTGTCAAGTGTGGCATTTTCTCAAAGTGATTGAGTTCCACAATTCCTTGTGCTTTTACAGGGCCTGGGTGCAGGTAATGCATGTGCACAACGTGTTTCATGAATGTGGTTGTGTTTACGAGAAATGTCAAAGGTTCAGTTTTAAGTATCAAAGTTCATGTGAGAGGAATGCTCCGGGACTCGAACTTGAAATGGGCCAGAATAACAGCCTTTTATCCCTACATTCTCTGTATCGCAGGAAAAAATCTTCAATAGAACTTTTGTAAGTTTCAGGACAACAAATACCAATTGCGTTTTTAATGGCTTTCAGTATAGTAAACCAAGTTTTGATGAGGTAAAATGTTGAGTTATTAATTTTGACATCTACATTTGGCGTTATAGAACCAAAGTATATACGACTTTACATCTGAGGATGGCTAAGGGACAGTTCATAATTTATGGCTAGGGGGCTGATGATGATTTTTATGTTGAAGCATGTACAATGTGAATGACCCCCCCTAAAATTTATGTACAAAATAAGTGACCCCCATGCATGTCATGAACAAATTCAGTGACCCCTTCCCCTTCCCATAATTTCTAAGTATAATTTTAAACAATTTTATGTACAAAATTGCTGAACACCCCCTCCCCGTACGTGTGTACAAAATTGCTGACCCCCCTAGCTCCCCAGAACAAAATGGGTGACCCCCCTTAAAATCATCATCACAACCCCAAGCCATAAATTATGAACGGTCCCTAAACGTCTTAGTAAATGAAAACAATGTATTCCTACGCTTGGTGCGCCAAACTACCAGCTAAAGTTAGTGATAAGGCTCCAAATCCTGTTTCATATGGTGTTTTTGTACGGTATCCTCTAAAGCATACGCCGAAACAACTTGCAAAAGGTTAGATCCTGTCTGTTACCTCAAATACATAAAGCTAATTGTGACTCGGAACATCCACACAAGATTTGACATATATCATAAAGGGTTAGTCTGAGTCTGTGTGCAAGAGGTGACAAGATCGTCTCTGCATTATTGCCATAAACGACACCTGACTGAAACTAATGACACAACCAACCGAAAGAAGCAGGCCAATTACTTGTTGTTGTTGTTGACTGAAACTGAAGAGTCTGGAAATCTTCCAAAGGAGATTCCTATCTGCATCCTGGCTGAAGAGTAGTGTTTTCCCCCTTTACAACAGCTGCTCTTGTGGCCCACACACAGATTCCCGCTGTCCACACGGTGTTTTCCTCAATGATTACACTGAGGATGTTGGGGGTGGCGGTCAGGCCATTCCTGTTCAGGCGGTTGTCAATGTTGATTTCCCTAGTTCTATAGTGTCGTGCTTACTCCAGTGCTGCTTGAGTTAGCCATGCACCCACGGCTACTGTGTAATCTCAGGCGCGTAGCAATCCAATGTTTTCGTGTAAGCCCGATAGGTTGCAAAGCTTTATATTTAGATAGTATTGAGGGCTTGCCCAACCGTTTTCGCAAAAATCATGTGTAAGCCCTGGCTTTGTTTTATAATGGTAGCTACGCCTCTGAATCTACACCTGAAGCAGCTGTCACTTGAGGTAATAATGTGGAAAAGTTCATTGCAATTAAAAATAATAGCCTCCAAAGTCATGACACAAAATGGAGATCTATATTCCCAACCTAACAATGAAAATAATCTCAGTTCGCTATTTTAATTTGAAAATGTGCATTTTTGTGTATTTTTGAACTCTATCTAACAAACTCAAGAATGTTAATTGGTGCTCTAATGATGTACCCTTGGGAACAATAAAAACATTCTACAAAAAAAAAGAAAATGCCACCTACCATTACTGCTTAATCCACAACCGATACGTGAGATGGTATTGCGGCCTAAGACTGATGCTAAAGTTATAGTCGAAAGAGCTGATGTATGAAACAGTAATGTCGGAAGTGGATCTTGTGTTTTGCAAACGGGTTACTGATTAAGTGCTTCTGGAGAGGACAATAGGAGAGTTGCATTTCATGTATTTGTTAAGAATAATCTGATATATTTTATGTGTACCACATTACAATTATCCAAAATATATTTATCCTCTTTGTTTGTGTGTTTATAGCTAAAAGTAAACTATTCTGCGCGAAGAAGACCTACGTCATCGCTGTTTATCGGCCCAGAATTCTTTGTAACCTCGCATTTTCACATCAATACTATAATATAGACTAAGTGTAAAACATACTGAGTCTAAAATGTACGTTGCAATTAGAAATTAGTCTTCCTTAATCTTTCCGTGTAGACATTTGATCGATTACTATCTACCTCGCTTTCCTTGCTGCTGGCGAGGGTACGTAAGTCCCCAAAACTTTCAAAGTAAAATTTTCATGTACCAGGTTTTTAAACGTTACGGTAGTATTTTTGTTCTTTCAAATTTCGGCTAAATTATCCTACAATGGCCAGCGGCTGAAGGAATGGTGTAAATCCAGCTAGGCTATATGCAGGTAGCAAAAGTAATGTAAGTCCCCATGGTTCATAGTATGGTGATCTACCTTCAGTTGTTGGCGATCTATAGCCCATGTTTCACATTGTATTGTCTTCTTATATTGGAATGTTTTAGCTTTGCTCGCTAGTTTTATATTATATCTATGATTATCTAGTATTTTTACTGTCCATCGTCGACAGGTTTTAATCTTCAAAATGTGTTCACTTTTTATTGTATAAATTGTTTTCGTCACGATATGGCTGAAATATTACCGATGTGACGTTAAATATTAACTCACTCACTCACTCCTTGCTGCTGGCAAGACTTTATCAACAGACCATGGGCTCATATTATATGGACGAATGTAACATAATTTTTGTAATTTCCGGTGACGACAGTGTAATTCTCACAATGCACATTATCACAGAGAAAACCCATTTAAAGATTTTGTAATTGGTGTATTTTGAGCCTGATTGAATCTATGGCCGTTCCATGTGTCCATGGTTTAACCGCCCACACATACTGTATGTAGTCACCTGACGCACGCACACGAATCCTTGTAAGACCTTTGGGAAAATCAATGATAAAAATAATTACATTCTAAACTCAATTTGCACAAAAAAAGGGCACTTTTTTAAACCCCGATATTTGGTAATATCATCGGATGCTTCCTGTGCAGGAGCTATATATACTGGACAAAATAAGTTAGGGATATTGGTATTGTTATGATTGATATTTTATTAGTGTTTCAATGAATAAATAGATCATTATTGATAATTTCAAAATGTACATATTTCCCTAACTATTTTTGTCTAGTATATATAGCTCCTGCACAGCTACCGTCTTGGCTCGAAGAGAGGTTTCAGTGCCTTACTGTTCAGGGTCGGTGGGGTAGCCGTCAAAACCATACTCACTCAATCACCGTTATCATTCATTGCTGGTTTACGTGCCCGATCTCTGACCCCAACACACCGAAATGCTCGTCGACACTGACATGGTGTTCTCTAAGTCACTCAAGGTTCGACCATAAATCACCAACTGATTCGGGTTTTCATCAATCTTGACTTCAGAAATGCAACCGGACGTCAACGTGGTTGACGTCGCCTTAGTTGGTTGGTCAGTTGTTGTTTAACTCCGCCCTCAGCAATATTCCAGGTATAATAATAAGAATGATAACAATGAGTGAATTTGTAACGCGCCAAACTCCACGCCAGCTGGTATGTCCATGGCGCTACATGTAAAGTTATTTGGGCGAGAGTCTAGACAAAGTACTTGTTAAACAAGAGTCATCAGAAGATGACCTATCCCCCCGGTCCCCACATCTTTGAAAGAACAAATCATCTGAGAGTTACTTGTCAAGTCCAACTTGATTTTTTTGGGACTAAGTCCAAATTGTTTCCATGGAAAGCATGAAAAATAAAAATGCCAAAAATCTGTAAATAGTAAAAGGCAATACTTTAAGATCTGTTTGATATATCTGTCAAGTCTTGTAGAAAGATATTGAACGGTTTTCGAGTTGTGATCTGGAACGAAACCCACCCCTCTCTTTTGAGACTATGTCCGAAACATTTCCATGAAAACCAAGAAAAATAAAAATGCCGAAAATCTGTAAATAGCCAAAGGCACCACTTTAGCTTATGTCTGATATATCTACCAAGTCTTGAAGAAAGATAATGATCGGTTTTCGAGACCAGCTTGATTTTAGACTAAGTTCAAATCGTTTCCATGGAAATCATGAAAAACATAAATGACAAAAATCTGCAAATAGCAAAAGGCACCACTTCAAGATCTGACCCACATATCTGCCAAGATTTGCTGAAAGATATTAAGAAGTTTTCGCGTTGTGCTCCGGAAACAAAACCTACCCCTCCCTTTTGAGACTAAGTCCGAATTGTTTCCATGGAAACTGAGAAAATAATAAATCACAAAAATCTGCAAATAGCAAAAGGCACCACTTCAAGATCTGCCTCAGATATCTGCCACGTTTTGCTGAAAGATATTGAGAAGTTTTCGAGTTGTGCTCCGGAAACGAAACCCACCCCTCCTTTTGTGACTAAGTCCAAAATGTTTCCATGGAAACCAAGAAAAATAAAAAGGCCAAAAATCTGCAAATAGCAAAAGGCACCACTTAAGGTTCTGTTTGATATATCTGCCAAGTTTTGTTGAAAAATATTGAACGGTTCTTGAGTTATACTCCGGAAACGAAGCCCACCCTCCCTTTTGGGATTAAGTCTGAATCGTTTCCATGAAAATCGGGAAAAATAAATATGCCAAAATTTTGCCAAATAGCAAAAGGCACCACTTTGGCACCTGCTTCACATATCTGCCAAGTTTTGCTGAAAGATATTAAGAAGTTTTCCAAATCATTTCCATGGAAACCGAGAAAATGATAAATCACAAATATCTGCAAATAGCAAAATGCACCACTTTGGGATCTGCCTCACATATCTGCCAAGTTTTGCTGAAAAATATTGAACGGTTCTTGAGTTATGCCCCGGAAACGAAGCCCACCCCTCACTTTTGGGATTGTTTCCGAATTGTTTCCATGGAAACTGGGAAAAATAAAAATGCCAAAAATCTGCAAATAGCAAAAGGCACAACTTTAGGATCTGTTTGATATATCTACCAAGTTTTGTTGAAAAATATTATACGGTTTTTGAGTTATGCTCCGGAAACGAAGCCCATCCTTCTTTAAGACTAAGTCCAAAACGTTTCCATGGAAACCGAGAAAAATAAAAATGACAATAATCTGTAAATAGCAAAAGGCACCACCTTAGGTTATGTTTGACATATCTACCAATTTTTGTTGAAAAATATCGAACGGTATTTGAGTTATGCTCCGGAAACAAAATGATTACGGACGGACGGACGGACGGACGGACGAGGCGACGACTATATCCCTCCGCATTACATGCCGGTGTGATAATAAAAACGTTTTGAGGAGAGTTTTGAAGGAGAGCAGGCTAGGGGCTGTTTTGAGATCTTCAGGCAGAGAATTCCATTGAACAGCTGATTGGTGGGCAAATGATCTGAATCCAAATCGTTTCAGTCCGTATCTAGGCACTGTGCACAGAATTTGGGACTGGGATCTGAGAGTTCTGGTTGGATTATACTGGTTTACACGTTCACACAAATAGAATGGCGCGATACCGTTAAGGCACTGGTATGCGAGTACAAGAACTTTAAACTCAATTCTAGCTGAGATGGACAGCAAGTGTAGGGATCGTAGAAGTGGCTGTATATGTGCAAACTTTGGAGCAAGACACACAATTTGGGCTGCAGTATTTTGTATTTTTTGCAGCCTTGAAACAGAATCTTGTGACACACCACACAATAGGCTATTGCAATAGTCCAGGCGTGATAATATCAGTGTTCGAACTAATGCAGAGGCAGCTTCCTGGGATATAAGATGCCTTACTTTGCCGATACTTCTTAAATGAAAATGGCATTTTCGACATACATGTAGCTCAGCACTCAGCAATATTCCAGCTATGTGGTGGCGGTCTGTAAATAATCGAGTCTATGTAGCTCAGCACTCAGCAATTAATATTCCAGCTATATGTGGCGGCGGTCTGTAAATAATCGAGTCTGAACCAGACAATCCAGTGATCAACAGCATGAGCTTCAATCTACGCAATTGGGATACGATGACATCTGTCAACAAAGTCAGCGAGCCTGACCACCCGATCCCGTTAGTCGCCTCTTACGACGAGCATGAGTTAATGAAGACC